AGCTGATGGCAGAATATGTGCAGGAAGCTGGCATGCCATTCTGGTCTCCTAACTCAAGCCAGGCCACAGCTGAAGTGGAATTACTTCGTACATACGTGTTGTCATCTGGTACCAGGCCAAAGAAGCACACCATGACTGACCACACCTGCTATCTTAGGACTTTGCACGCTTGAGGCAAAGGTTTCTATGTTCTGTTTCAGAACAACGGAATTTACTAAAAGCCTTTTGTGTGTGTTTATTTATATGATGTGAGAAAGTCCATTTCAGTCGTTTAAAAAAAAAGTTTGTTGGGTTCCACTCTGTAAGCCCTGTCTGATCACTTCTTACTGATAATCAATGACAGCTGAGTCCAAAAGGAAACCTGGACCTCATGACCCTCCGAGTAGAGCATCGAGGACCACCTAAGAAAATGTGAAACACATACACACACAATCTTAATCTACTCATCCCTAGATCTAATGATCAACCTCCTGAATAACAAAAGAGAAATGAAACTATCACAAGCCAGACAATGAGGAAATAATGGACAAAGAGCTCAGTTTCTTTAGAAATAGATTGGACAGAAGGAGGACCTATGATGGAGAAAGTGATAGATGCAGAGAAATTTAAAACATGTCAACCCATCACTGTGTATGTGCCTTATTTGGATCCAGATTCATGTCAACAAATTCCATACAAAAAAAAGGTTATTAGAGGATAGTGAACATGGAGTACATGCTGAATTATTTAAGGAATTGCTGCAATTTTGTGTGCATGTGGTAATGGTTCTTTAAGAAACCCTTTTATTGATAAATATTAAAATATTTATGGGTGGAATTATCTAATGTCGAGGAGTTTATTTAAGATAAAACAGAGCAGAAATGTGTAGGGACATAATGTCAACAAATTAGCCATAGCTGAGAACTGATCAACTGAACAACAGGTACAAAGGGATTTTTTGTATTATTCATATTTTACCTATGTTTAAAATCATTGATAACTAAGGATTTTTAAAAAATCTTTTTGAAAATATACATCTAAAGTGTTACAAGCTCCAAGTATGGTAAAAAAAAAAGTTTTCAAATTTAAATATGCAAAAAGTTCTGCTACTACTCAACTATGGACCAACCCATATGACTGTTAAAACTGTCCTTGGCAGAACAAATTACCCTGAACAGGAGTTATGAACCAAATGATATATGTAAAATTGTATGAGAAGCAAGTTGTAGAAATTTTTACCTGTTATTCAAGATAAAATGCTTTCCTGAAGTAATAATAGGCTAATTAAGAATGCATTAAACACCAACCATGTGGCACATAGTCAATGGCATTGCTTCTTTTATAAGGACAATGCCAATGTTTCCTCTGTCAGAGTCATTTATTAATATATAAAACTCATAACTTCAGATATTATTTGCAAAGTATACAAATAAGAATGCATACATTCAAAGGAATGAGTGAAGCAAAGATGTACAAGAACATGTTGTACACAATGCTCTCTCCATATCAGGATACAGATTTTAGCCCTCATCCTAATACCTGTCAGTACTTAAAAGAATATTTATGTGATATCATTGTAATCTCTAAAAATTACAAATGTGGTACAAAGATTAGGATTTAACTTAGCTGCATAGTCATGTAATTAAGCCAGGATTATAGAAAAATGGGTTGCCATTTACAAAGATTATTAAGTGGGTTTATCAAACAAAGACTCTGATAAAGTACATTTTGGCTCATAAAACACACAAAAAAAGCTAGACGTTACGTGTACACTAACTACATTTTGTATTATCAATTATAGGACAAAAGCAAATATGCATTTACTGTAATTATAGGCAATGTAATCACTGGGGGAACGTGGTGAAGTATACATGGGTCCTCCCCATAAAGTTTATGTTTAGTTTTTATAAATTCCTATGAATCTTAATTACTTCAAAACAATAAAGGTTTTTTTTCAAAAAAAGTAAAATATATCCAACGTCCTAACACTATTCTCTGGCGAATGGGATAGGGAGAGAATAAGCAGACCACTCTAAAATCAAAGGTCTATTTGGATAAATCCCACCAATAGAAATATTCTCTGCAGTAATGTGGTCTGGTTAGATATACATTTTAGCACAATTTTATGATGAAGCAAATCATGAGTATGGACAAGTACTGAAAACCCTACCACAACACAGAGCAACGAAGACACTATTCTCACATCTATTCTTCTATGAGTCCCTTTTTGGTCACTACAACCTACATCACCATGATACTGGCATTATGGAATAGAAAATTGGTTGAACTATGTAAAGATGTGTTGCCTTTCTTTAACTATGTAAAGATATATTGCTTTTATTTATGCTACATTTGTTTAACTATGTAAAGATGTAGTGCTGTTTTACCTTGCCTGTCTAAGGCACCTGATTGGTCTCATAAAGAACTGAATTGCCAATAGCTAGGCAACAGAGGGACCAGTCAACCAGACATGGAGGAAACAGGAAAGCAGGATGATGTAGATGAGGTAAATGAGCCTCGGGGCAGCACATAGATTAATGAAACTGGATTAATTTAGATTTAAAAAAAGGCTAGCTAGAAATAAACTTAAGCTAATTAGTCTCTGTGTCATGATTTGGGAGGTAGTTGAGGGCCCAAAGAAAATGTCACCTAAAGACTGGCCTCTCTGCCTTTGTGCCCCATTCTTCCTAAAATGGCAGCTCCTAGGGGACTTTCCCGAGCTGCTGGGAATATGTGTGTCTCCTTTCTGCAAGGTGACTTGACTGAGGGCAACGTCCCTATCTGCATCTTATTGTCTCTGACTCTTCAAGGCATCAACAAATGCCTTAGTAACTATAGGAACTCAAAAGAGATTTGATTAATGAAGAATAAAAAAAAGAAATAAAGGAGAAGACAAAAAGGGATAGATAGATACAGACAGGCAGACAGAGATATGGGACCTGATTTGCTGAACTGTATACATAGGAAGATTACAGCAAATATTGTTTTGTTTTTTATTAGAACCATCCATCCTTGTTAGCTTCTCGAGGGACTTCGAATCCCTTCAGCAATAGACAGCTTGACTGAACATGGCCACAGACACCACTAGACTTCCCTTGTACTGAAACAGAAGGCTAGTAATTGAGTTGATGCTACAGATAGGTAAAAGACAGCCAAATGATTGAGATCATTCCATTCAGTCAAAACCTCAAGTACCAAGAATTCTAGCACTGCATGCTTTGAGAGGGGAGTTCACTACAGTCACCTTTCCATGGTAATGACCTGGGATGCATTTTGGGGTACAGTTTGTTTCAATAGTTCCAAAAACTATGGGGTGTATTCCCTGAAACTCTTCACTTGTGAGAATATATAGCTAAGATGGTATGATGTTAAGACGTAAAGACTTTCCAGTGAGGTGGTCCCCAAATCTCCATCTCTGTATCAGTAAAAGAGTTACAAGGTACTTTTTAATGCAGTCAAAATGCTACAGTGGCTATGGTAGCAAAGAGAAAACAAGTAGCAAAACACTAACTGGTCATGTCCCAAGTCTATCCTAATAGTGAGTCCTATCATTTAGTGAGGACCTTCATATGTGAGGTGGTTTATATATAATATTGCTGTTGGAACTTAGACTTCATTTCTTCATGGAAGTAAAATTGTTAATAACCTGATCTGGAACTCCACAAAAAGCACATTTAATCTACAATATTCCAGAGATACAGCATTGTTAATGTGGAACCTAGTTACCAGGCATGATTCTATTCTAATGAACAAAAGAGTGTTCCAGAGCAGCTAAAATTCTACTGTGGACTCAGGGGAGAGGGCAAAATAAACTCTCACTGTTCTACTCATTTAGCTGGCCACAGTAGTGGAAAACCACAAGGCCCAGCTCACAGGTGAAAAATTACCAAATACTTCAGCATCCATACCAATCCTCCATAATCTAGACTCAAGGATAGAATGAAGTCTGGAGCAGGAGGGTTCTTGAACTTTGGAAGTGGAGGGGAGGGGTCCTGCTATAGCCACTGGGTCAACCAGCCAGTACAGTTGCGTCTATGTGTGGCAGGCTTTATGACCCAGAGCCATTGCTGAGACACCAAGCAAAAAAGGTCACCTAAGTACTTTTCTGGAGATAGCTTCAACTTCTGAATCAAACCTTTGTCCATCTATACTGCTGGGTGAATAAAGGAACACCAAGGCAATAGAAGAATACCATCTAAATTACAATTTTCCAGATGGAAAGAGACAATATTTCAGGATTGTTTTGCTAAGACTGGATTGTCCTCCTCTTTTCAGGAAGGAAAGACAGCAAGTAGCATCACACCACTATGACACAGGTCAACCTCCTACAACATTCATGCCCATGACTTTGGCTCAACATGGCACAAGATAGACACAGACACCCACATGGAAAGTTGGGTTAGTGACTGGGAGAACAAAGCTTCCCGGTCCTGACCTTTTGCTCCATGAGCTGGAAAGGGTAGTAGAGAAGCTGGAAGGAAACCTTCAGGCCCTGGAGAAAAACACACCTGAAGTTTGTTCTCACCATTGCAAAAGGAACCACTTTCTCATTCAAGGTGAGGCCTGGCCTCTTGACTATCTTGTCATATATTCAATGGAGCTGGCATGCATTTATCTTGAACACAGTACCTTGGCACTAATAATTTTGCTGTATTTCCCCCAAGTTCATCAGAAGATACTAGGGAATACTGATCATCTCATCTCATTAAACGATAATTACAAACTCAATGGGAAATGACATTCTAGAAGTACGGGGAGGCACAGCAACATGTGCCACCCATGAGCCAGTACTACCATGGGTGAGGACTGGCACTCACTTATCCAGAGATATCTAGAACCTATAGCTATAGATCACATCTATAGGGTAATAAGATTACTAAATCACAGTGGGCAGGGTACTCTAGCCAACAAAACACCCACAAGCTTTTGTCACAGGCCTCTGGCACAGAACAATTGTTCATAAGGGAGGCTAGGCCAGAGCCTCGTGGTCTCCCCCTCTCCTGTTCAGTAGACTTCCTTACTTGACTTGGACAGCTGCTCATCCTGGGAAATGCCAAGCTCATCCGACTCCCCCGACAGCTCCTTGATGAAGTTGGAAGGAAACATTCCAGTCTTGCCGTTAAGTACACCTTCCCACCATCCTTCCTCTACCTGTGTGGAGGCAAAGAGAAGAGAGGTCCGAGGTCAAGTTAGAAACAGAAAGTAGGTCACATGGCCCTTATGCAGACAGATAAGGGCGTTAGCCTGGAACCCAATATAAGTGGGAAAATGTAACACTTCATTTTCGTCAACTTCGAACTGAAGTTTGGCATTTCCTTTGGTTATTAAAATAGGTAACATACCAGTATTAGAAGAACCTGTGACTCATCATGAAATAACTCATGCATATTTTCCTAACACATCACAGTTGCTGTGAGTACCTCAAAATATTATTTGTGCTACTTTAAAATGGTACAAATCGTACCTGGTAGGTGGCATTTGTTATTCACTGTATTATGAAGGCATCACATATATTTCTATATCAAACTTTACTTTTATTTGATGTGTACTTCACTATAGTTTGCTTTGTAATTTTATGTGTTTTGTTTTATGAAAACCACTAATAAAAAACACCTGTAAATATAACCAGGCAGGATGGCATACATCTGTAATTCCATCAGTCAGATGATACAGCAAGCAAGATAATAGCACCTGTGATGGCAACCTGGGTTACACAGCTATATCAAATGGCTGGGAATGTGGCTCCTTAGGCAAATACTTGCCTAGTGTCCACGAGGCCTAATTTCTACTCTCAGAATGCCAAACAAACAGCAGAAAGGAGGAAGAAGAGGAGCAATGAGTGGAGGAGGAAGATGAAGAAGAGAAGAGAGGGAGGGTGGAAGGTTTTTCAAGGGAACCAAAACTAGACAGTCGAGAGGAAAAAAAAACTCTATTTTCAATTAAATTTTAAAAATGTAATTACAAAAAACACCTCTGGGGTAAGGGCTTGGAAGGTAGAAAGATTTTCTATGGGTTCCTCCTGGGATGTGGGGAGAACCGGAGTATCAGAGGGCAGTAAGGTTTCAGTTTTACTGTAGGAGCTGGACCGGAAAAAGCAGTGAGAACACACAAGACAGGTTCCGTTTTGAGGTATGAACTGGTCTTGATCAATGAGCTAAGGGCAAGTGAAAGAAAAACTGTTGGAAGAATTTGAGATGTCCGAATACTTGGTTAGCTTCTTGGAGGAAAACTAAGGTCATTTTGAGAACAAGCAAGCATTAGGTTACCAATAAGAAGTGGGGTGATAGAAAAAGGAGCTAGAGACTTTAGGATCTTTTCTATAGGTATGTATTACCAATGCAAGCCAAACACAACTTAAGAACTTAAATAATTCAAACAAATAATAAAGAAAATTAAAACTCAAAGCCCAGTTCAAATTCTATCCTGAAACTTAGCTGTATGAACTCATTCCTTTTTCCCCTGCCAAAATAAACCCTCTTCTCCATCTGCCTAGCAGAGCTGGTTAACACATCTCAAGCAGCATATTTAATTAAGCACGACCTTTGTCTCTGTTAGAGGTGTGTGCATTATGGTCCTATGCTAGAATCTGGGGGCACAGAGTCATATATGATAAGTACCTGTTTTTTGCTGAAGGAGGTGACAATCTACCAAAATAGGGAGGTGTGACTAAAGACTAAGGCTAGCAATCCAGGATAAATAGATGAGAAAGAGACCGTGACTCGGGGCAAATCAAACTTGTTACATGAAGATGAGCTCACCTAGAGCTGGGGTGGTAGAAAGGATAAATCAAAATTAAGGTAGGCCTTTAAGAAATTAGAAACAGTTGCTACAATTAGGGGAGCTATGTTCAGGGCATTCCAGAAGGGAGAAAGAAGCTAATGAAGGGGGAATGGAGAAAACGGAAGAAAGTTCATTTAGGATGCTCGCTAGAAAAGCATAGCATTGAGATTTGTGGAGTAGGAGGCACATTTGCATGGCCACAGAATCTTAAGGGAAGAATGCACACAACAGCATCCATGTATGGCTGTCCTGATGATTATTCAGTATCAGTTCACTGCATTTAACACAATTTCCACCGACTAGCATTTCCATGTTTCTATGCCAACTCAGTTGGTGTGTATTATTCCTTCAAGAGGGTTTTGATAGGATTAAGATGGTTGGAAGGATTCACTGTGAGTCTGCATATCAATAGTCACAGGATTTGTAGCATGGGGTCCTTGTGCTAGCTCTAAATAAAGAACCATAAAATAGCCCCTTTCCTCTCAGGAATCAGGGCAAGAAAAAACCCAGGGCAGGACTCACGACTGAGTGGCACAATCCCAGGCTGCAAAGGGAGCTGGACCAACTCCATCTATTCAGTTTGATGATGTCTGAAATATTCCCATTCCTACTAAGCAGCTCTAGTGTGAGACACCAGGAAAACACTCCTGACGTGTAGGATCAGCAGCTGCCTACTGGGAAAACAAAGGTATCTTTGCCCTGCCACACCCCAGATGCTAGTATCCCTGTCATTGCACAGCCTGAGAGGCCTGTGGGAAAAGAGCAGAGGTATATCATTAGCCACGCAGCGAGTAGAAGTGTTGACAATAAAACCATTGCTCACCACCTGGGGGATACTCTTCCAATTGCAGCTTCCTTGGGCACAAGGGGTGTTTCTTTGTGACCCTGAGCCCTTCCTGTGGGAAAGCCTGGTACCAGAACCACTGAGAACTGTGTAATACAATTTCTTCCTATAGTCTGCTGCTTTGGTCTCAAGATTAAGCCTGGAGATAGGAGAAAAATGATCCTTATTTTCAAACTAGCTCTCTTCAGAGATTTGGTTCAATTTCCTACAAAAAGACAAGGGCACTGAAGCCCAGCCCAGAACAATGGTTTCCCCCTAGCAAGCACAGTACCAATGGATTCATGCCAGGCAAATCATGAAAAGAAATTCTATCAAGTCCTGATTGCTTCCCCAAAAGGTTTTTTTGTGGGGGGGGGGCAGGTGCTGGGGGGGGACAAAAGGGAACAAGAGATCCTTATTTTGTTACTGCTCTTCTGAATTAGGTCCTGCAATACCAACCATGTGTGGCCATTCCAATGATGTCAATGTTTACTAAACCATTATCCTGTACTGCCTTATGATGTTGGGATATAATCATTGGTGAACAAAACAGACAAAGACCTCATCCTGGAGCTTGAGAGATGGAGCCAGACTTGAAGTGCTTGCCATGGAAACAGAGGACTCACATAAAATCAAAATGTAGCTGTGCACACCTGCAGCCCAAGAACTGAGGAGGCAGGGATAAGAGGATCTTTGGGTTTTGCTGACCAGCCTCGCTAGCTGAACTGCTGAGCTCTGGGTTCAATGAGACTCTCAAAAAATAAGGTAGAAAAGTGATTAAGGAAGATACATCTGGCAACCCAGGCACACACATGTGCACTCTCTCTCTCTCTCTCTAACACACACACACACACACACACACACACACACACCCTGGAGAAATTTCTGGAACAAAAGAGGAGAACCTGCACAGCTTGCATACCTTCTGCTTAGAAATCAAGATATCCCATACTGATGCTTCTGTATTTGAACACCGAAAAAGAACTGTGTACCCTAGCAATAAAGTATAGAGTAAATCTGGTACCAAAGGTTCACAGCTTCTGCCCACAATAAGAGAGGGAGTAGATGCCCACCTTATCCCCATGCCCACCCAATCCCAACTCATCATCAGTCTTCTGCAAGCTTCTGGAATTAGGCTGAAAACAAACCCTAGCTGTGCCTTTCTGTGACCAAAGTGACTTACTTAAGGCCCCATGATTGCCCCTAAAGCAAACCCTACTAATGGCTCATAGCTGGGACAAGGCAGTTTCCAAGTAGTGCTGTTTGGAAAAGGCTGCGTACAGTTTCCATTCCAGCACAACTTCCATGTCTTTACAAGGAACAGCCTTTATATAGGTTCCAGGCTTAAGGAAGTAATTTCTCTACCATGTCCCTATTGGAAGCTGAGGAAACAGCAGAGTCAATTTCAACTCCCAGCCACCAGCCAGCCGTGCAGACATCATCTACATCTGTGAAGCAGGAAAGATGCCCAGGAATGGAAAGGTGAAACGCTTTCCACTGGAAACTTCTCTGAACAAGTCCTGTGTGTTTGGTCGGACGCATCACCCCAGCTCCCTAACACCCCTTTATATGAAAAGTCTGGAATATTTAGTCAGAGGCCTCATCCCAGCCCCCTGGCATCCATCTCTGGAATACTGGGCAGAAAACTCCATTTCAAGCCCCTTCCTCTGGGGGTTACCTTAGTCCAAACTCCACCTCTAAGAAAGCCCACCAAACGGTGACCCTCCACAGGGAGGGTCAAGAAAGCCTGCCAAATGATAACCCCTCCTCAGGGAAGGTCAGGACCACTCCCACAAGCTATTTAAACTGCCCCCCTCCATGAATGAACATCTATCTCTTCAGCCCTCCTGCAGCTTTTACATCGGTGTCTTTTCATTGCATTCCCAGCATCTGCTTCATATACTCCACACTCATCCCCAACGCATGCGCACGGGTGGCCTCTTCTTCACCCCCATGTGGGTTTCCTGCTTTCGCTTCCTTGCTCATTTGTCAAGTCCATCATCCGTCACCCCTTTTAGATTCGTAGCTTCTTGTGGTGCTCTCCACAACTACTGAGGCTGTTTCAGTGTGCGCATTCCGATCAATAAATCTCCGAGTCTCTATAAATACAGCCTCTCGCATGGTGAAAGCATTTAAATATTTGAGAAGTTTCATAGTTATGCATGTCTGCCATAAATATATCTGAACTCACTTTCAGTTGTGACCTGTACTGTATGCTGATGATTCAAATATAACTACTCTTCTTCACTTGAGGCTGTTGTTACTTGAGATCCGGTCTCATTTAGCTTAGGATGGCCTCAAACTTACTGCTGTAGCTAATGAGGCCCTCAAATAACTGATCCTCCTACCTCCGCCCAGATGTTGGAATTATAGATATGCATCACTACACTCAGCTTACTGTCTCTTCTAAACATGGCATCCCTACCCATAGTATGAATGCTCCAGGACCTGGACCCACTAGGAAAATAGATGTGTTCCCCACTAAATTAAACAGAGACAACTGTAGAACAGCTGGAGTTATTTAGATGATCAAACTCCAATACCAGGA